AGTCTTGACCACGCCGTCGAGTCCTCGGAAATCAGTGGCGAACTGACCGGATCACTTGCCGACGGTGTACAGGCTGCGTATACGCTAGCTAAGTGCATGTGGCTTGGCTGGTCTAATGGTGGTACCAGTTGGGCGGCATAATGCTCGTACGTGGCACGAGAATCAGCGACTAACGCATGCTCCCCGGTAGTGACATCGATTGCTAGCAAGGCAACCGGGTCCGGCGGAGTGAGGAGAGACGTCGCCCCTCTCCTTGCGTAACTCAGTTTCCCGAGTTTGCTGGACGGGGTACGCGTGCCTTGCCCTTTTCGGGGCATTGTGCGGTCACATGAGTGACGCTGTTGCACCAGAGGCAGTATCCGTACTTTTGACAAAGGTCATAGACATCCTTGGTTATCTTGTAAGTCGTCCATGGTTGCTGCCCAGTTCCCGTCGATGTTGTCTCTTGTGTCGCCTTGTTCTTCCGAACTCTCTTGGGACGCTTTGGCGGGAGCGCTGCTACAATTCCTCCATCACTCGAGGATGCTGCCGCAGCGTGGTGGTCGTCGATTTCCTCAGAAAACACGGCATTGTTATATGCCGGACATTGATAGCCCTGCTTAGCCACATAATGCGGCTGGGACTGCCGTTCCTTTGCGGCCTTGTCATCCGTTTGGATGACTAAGTTCGCACGATCCAGAATGGCCTGGAACGTGTCATAGTCGTACTCGTTGCCGAGTGCCGACCGCAGTCCCGCGCACGATCGCGAGAAGAACTCGGATCGTTGATTTGGAAAACTCAAATCGAATCCTGGCGTGGTCACCATCTTCTGCCACTTGGTTGTCCAGTCTCGAGTTCGCATATTTCCTTGAGAGCAGGTGTACACCTCGTTCATGGCCGCCTTCACGACGTTGCGGACCATGAACCGGGTGAACCATAGCTTCTCGAACTCATTCCACGTGATGTGCGTGTGGAGGTCGGCGATGGTGCATTTGTTAGTAGCCGCCAGATGGTTCATCCAAGCTTGCGCTCCTCCAACTAGTTGCAAGTAGAGTGCCTTCATCATGTCGTCTGTCGGGACAGTGCGGCATGATGCTTCCGTGAGGAAACGTTGCCACCATGTCAAGGCGTCCAACTTGTTGTAGTCGTCAAACTTGCTGATGTCGAAGTGTGGCATCTTGTAATTCTTTGTAGCGGCGTCCGGTCTCGTCTGCAGCTTGGTGATGTCCGTCTTGATGGCGGCCACCGTGCTACTGATCGTGTCCGGCCTACTGAAAACACCTATGTCGCCGATGATGGTTACGACGTGATCAATGCGCTCATTGAGTTGCTTCGTCGCGTCTGTCGTGCAGCCTGGCGCTGCTGAGGCGTTAGCCTCAATGCTGTTGATGCGTGCGAGAGCGGAGTTCAACAGCTGATGCTGTTGCTGCTGCTGCGTTGCTTCGGCGCAGATGGCAGTTGTTAAAACAGCAATGTCTTGCTGGTACTTTTGTCGCTGTTGTCGTTCCGTGCGCAGATGTGCCTGCAGCAGTGTGTTATTCCACATGATGCCTCTCATCATGCCCA